CCTTAAAATTTCAGCTTTCTAGCTTCTCAGATCCCCGAGTTATGAACTTACTCGGAAAAAACTTTGAGGGGCCCGTACGTGCATATAGATCGAGTCCCCAAAATTTCAGCCCCGTAGCTTTTGTAGGTCCTGAGATGAAAGTGCGTGACAGACGCACACACAGACACACGGACACACAGACACAGAGATACACGGACACACAGACAACCCCTCGTCAATATGCGTTTTTCGCATTGCATTGCTGCAAAAAACTCATAAAAACTGTTTGGTGTCTTTTTAGGTCAGAAAAAGTAATCTGTTCGGGCTACTTCATGTCCTCTCTGAAGTGGACATTCTTTATTAACTTCTTCATAGTAGTAGTTTTAATTTTTTGGAAAGCATGTGATTTGTCTTTTTAAGTGGCTAGAGCGATGGCTTAACATTATTTTCAGACAGTTCTATGAGGTTTAGCTGATGCCTGAACGCCTTTCCAGTGGCCTATACATACACTCTAAACAAAACCAGTATCTAAAATTCTAGTTCTTCCAATTATATTTTCTTCACTGACTAAGGCTTTGACATAATTTCTGTCTTTACAGAATGTGGCGGAAAGATGCACTTGCGAGAGAAGCAGTTTGAGAAAGCTCATACCGATTTCTTTGAGGCTTTCAAAAACTACGATGAAAGTGGATCGGAGCGAAGAAGCGTCTGCTTGAAATATCTGGTACTTGCAAATATGCTAATCAAGTAAGCTTATTCTTATAAAAGGGAAGCTTGTCACTTTGAAGCCTTAAGAAATTACTGGTGAAGTGTTGCTCGTGGTACTGATGTTGTAGTACTGGATATATTAACAGATTTGCAAAACCACTTTTATACGCTCCGTGAGAATCTGATTCTAATAGAGTATACCCACAAACGTTGCGCGACTCTCTGGGGCCCTACGATTTTTTGAGCTACATACCTTCGTTTAGTGCAAATCGTTGTACCAACCATCTTTACGGAATCCGACAAGTTGTCCGTTTCTTTTTTTTTTCGTTGGCTACAAGTGATATGTAATGCTTACTGTTTGTTTTGATTTTACCTTATTTCTTGTGAAAGCATCAACATCCCCGCTTCAAGCTTACCTGTGTCACATAATATGTCAAATAATGATTTATGGTTTTTTCGTTAGAAATGGCGTAAGGAACAATTGCGTCATTATGATGCAGCATCTCGGTCCCTGGTTCAACCTTTGAACACCCTACCCCTGTTAAAGTTTTGCAGTCTTAGTAATCTCTGACCACTGGGGTATGAAAGCACTTCTCGCCATTTCTGAGTTCCAGAGCCACGCCTAACGAATTAACCCTGTTCTGGGGAGCTTCAGCTATTTTTGTCTTAAACTTACTTACATT